GGTTATTTTAGGGGACAGCCTGAAGTAACTCTCAACATTAATGTTTCTACATTTGAGGAATCAAATCAGAAAGAACTGTAAATTTTTTTTAATGTTACTATGGATAATTTCAAATATATACAAAAGTAGGAAGAACAGTATAATGAACTCCCATATTCCCATCACACAGCTTCAACATTTACCAATTGAATGACCAACTTTTTCCAACTAATTCCTAGAATTCTCTAGCTATCTTGTTATATATCTGTATCATTAGAAACTCACAGATTTTTAACACACCTGATATTTTTCAATCGTTTGCCATTATTATTCTTATTGGTGCTGAAATCATTCCATCTTTAGCCAGTGGAAACCCTTCAGGCTGGTTCCTGAGTCCTTTTGACCTGCTCCTAAAAGGCCTTCAAAGCGTCCTCGCATCCTGGTATAACAAGATGTTCCAGGCTCATTTGTATACATCTTCCCCCCAGACCTGGAATCAGCCACCTCTCCAAGGAGCTCTGATTCCTTTTAGTAGAGTAGGTAGTTTAGGGACTATAATCTGAGTGTTGGGGTACCCCTATTCCCTCATTCCCCTGGGGATAACCTTTAAAAACAGTGTTAACGAATCCTTTCTTTGGGTTTCAAAATGAGCAAATATACCTAGATATTTATACCTCCTTCTTAGATAAACAGTAGTATCTCATACCCACTTTTCTCCACCGTGCTTTTTTGACTTAACATATCCTGGCCATCACTTATACTGTAGAGAGATAACCCTTTCATTTCACAGCTTAATGTACACCACTGTGTGAAGGTACCACAGTCTAGTCCACCAGTCCCCTCTTAATGGACATTTGGGTTATTTCCATCCTTCTCTGTACAAATAACAAAAGCAGTGAACTCTCAAGAAGAAAAGAAATGCAAGCACACGCGTACAGTGCAGAACTGATCTTACACAAAGAAGGGTCTTTACCCTGAGCTACTGGGAGGTGATTTCTAAGGCTCCCAGAACATCCTGCCTGATCGAATGTCTTTTTGACTGGGGTTTTTGGGCCACACAGTAACACTTCTCACTTTCAAGGGACCTGGAGACTAGGGTTTACCTCTAAGAAAGGCTGGAGTTGAAAGGCCAGCCACACAAGCAGTATGTAATCAAGGCCCCATAAAACCTCTGGCCACCAAAGACTTGGGTGAAATTCCTTGATTGACAGCAATCTGTGTTCCTTGTCACACATCATGGCTGGAAGGAGGTACCATTGTCTAAGGATCCACAGGAATCAGATGACTGAAAACTGTGTTTGGACCCTTCTTGGACTCTGTCCCATGCACTGCTTCCCTTGGCTGATTTTAATCCGTGTCCTTCCCTGTCATAAGCCATACCCATGAGCATAACAGCTTTCAGTGAGTTCTGTGAGTCCTAGTAAATTATTGAATGTGAGGATGGCTGTGGGAACAACCCAAATTTGTTATTGATGTCAGAAGTTAGGGCAGAGCTGTAAGGTCTGTTCCCTCAGGCTTTGCAATTCAGTTAACTTTTCATAAGAAGCTAAAGTGTTTTGAAAGAACTACTTTTTTCAAAAGCATAGATATTATAAGAATCAGTCAATCAAAGTAGAACTATAAATTGCATGTTAAATGAAAAAATCCACAGTAATGCTTTATTTTGCCAATTTTTTTAGTATTGGGCCTCACTTTTGTTTATAAAGTTCTTGACTTGTAACTGACCAGCACTTTAGAGTGCAAACTTTCATTTTGGAATCTCCCATGGCTTCAAGGGACACATAGGTAGGTCACACTGGGGTTCTGGCATTAGCCCGTCTGCGTTGGAGAGAATAAACATGAGACTATCACAGGATCAGGGGACAGGAAAGATGTGAAATTGGGCTCTACAGGGAGGGGAGCCTTGAGAGAATTGTGTCCTCTAGGAATCTGATGGACAGCATAACCTCATATATCCTCTTATCTGTGGTTAACCATTCCATACCACTTTCAGAAATTCTCACTCAACAAATAGTTATTGAAAACCTTTTGTTTTCCAGACCCTATTTCAGATGCTTGGGAAATATCTGTGGACAAAGTAAATATTTCCACCCTTGTGGAGATTACATTCTATCAGGCATAAATAGACAATAAATAATAAACATAGGAGATTAAAAACTATATAGTATGGTACAAGGAGATAAGAGCAGTGCAGAAAAGTAAGAGATCAGGGGCAAGGGGAGCAGAAGGTCAGGAGTGGACTGAAGAATTAAGTGGGGTAGTCAGGGCCTGTGTCTCTGAGACAGAAGGATCTGAATAAATACTTGATGGGGGAGTTGGGCAGGTGGGTGTTGTGCCATGAGCAACCCAGGCGGAGGGAATGGCTGGAGCAAAGTCCCCTGGAAAGTCTGAGGAACAGAAGGGAAGCCCGTGAGGCTGGAGTGGAGTGAAAGAGCCTGCCAAAGACTAAGTAGGGCTTGCAGAGCACTGTGTTGTGGATGAGTCTGAAAAGGTTCGCCCTCTACTGTCAACCACGATCACTGTCTTTACACTCACATCCTGATGATTGCTTTGAAGTGTTTAAAACACTGTACAAAATCTCATAGGATTGTAGGAGGTAACTGGCAAATAGAATTAGGCAGAATTCTTTGATTAAACATGGACTTTATTTGCTCAGCTGAAAGTACCTAGTAACTATTTCTATACAGAGCAGAATGACTTGGAAATTTTCAGGCTCTGTGCCAATAGAGGTCTGGGTTTGTGATCACCACTTTCAAGATGTGTGACCTGGGGCAGGTTGATTCTCTTCTCTGAGCCTCTGTTTCCTTGGCTCTAAGGTGAGGATTGCAATCAGTACCTGTTATGGGCTGAATTGTGCCCTCCCCCAAATTCATGCGCAGGGCACTACCACCTCTCCCCCATTTAACATCGTATAGATTTTTTCTATTGGCCATATATATTGACTCATTCAGCCTCCTGGCTTGCATAGTATAGCTTACATAATTCTAAGTGCAAAGGTCAGCTGGTTTCAAAGGTAGTCTTTCCATGAGGCCATCAGAGGCCCACCAAGGGCACCTCTCCTCTGCCACCTGCAGTATCCTCTTCACCTGAGGTGGGCTGCAAGATGGTTGCCCATAGCCATGATTAATTTGTGGTTTTTAAAATTTACACTCACAGGAGAAGGGAGAGAAGAGAGAGAAAGATACCTCTCCTTGCAGGCCCATAGCTTCTTTTTAGGCAGGCTGAGCTACTGAGTCACATAGTTCTCTTGGAGGAGAACTGTTCCCAGGGAACAGCTTTGTACAGATGGGCCTACATCAAGTAGGACAGTCCTTTTGTGAGAAATGGGGAGGAGGCCTGACCCGAGGCTGCATTTCCAAGGCAGGGGTGGGTCAGGGTCAGCAGTGTCTGCAGTGTCTGTGGGGTAGGAAGTAATCTCATTTGCACAGAACTGCATATATGCTTGTTTAAGTGTGTGCAGTAAGATCAATGTAGAGAAGGATGTTCAAAACTTGCTAACAGTGGTTATCTTAGTTGTTCCCATGCACTGAACATATTTACATTTTATCAAAAAATAAAAAAGCCATTTTAAAAGACCCCACCATCAAACAACCATTCTGTAAGTCACCACTTAGGACAGAAATAGAATAACTGTCTTTTTGCAAGAGCACGTCGAGTGTTATGGTAATCTCCACAATAAACAGGTATAAGAATTATGTCAGATACCCGTGGATGTGGGTCATTGGATACAAGTTGGTATGAATTCGGCTTTGGCATCTCACCGATCACCATATGCATGCTCTGTGCTAGAAGCCAGGGATCAAGGATGAAGGTTTCTGCCCCCTCCAGGTTTGTGGCCTGGTAGGAAATACACACAAATTGAAGAACTGAGGCACAGTGTGGTTGTTTTCATGAAGAGTGTGGGACCACAGAGAGGAAGTGGCCCACTGGTTGGGAGAAGTTGAAGAAGGGCTCTCAGAGATGTGACATTAGAATCGAGTGGGAACAATCAAGGGAGGTGGGGCAGCAAACACAGCACCTGGTGTGCCCACTAAGGCATGAGGGCTGCAGGCTGTTCTCGCTGCAGGCCAGTCTCATGACTAGAACATCGTGCTGGCACTGAAGTGCAGGTCAGAGTGCCTGAACACACTGCCACCAATGCAGGGGCTTAAAACGTTATCCACTTATTATCTCAGTCTATACAGGTCAGTAGTCCCTGAGGCAAAGCTGGATTGTATGCTCTGAGGCTGACATGGCTGAAAAGAAGGTGTCCGTGTGGCTGCGTTCCTTCCCAGAGGTTCTGGGGAGGGTTCCGCTTCCAGGTTCATTCAGGTCTTTGGTAGAATTCCGCTCCTTGTGATTCAGCTCCATCTTCAAGGCAGTAGCATCTTGAGTTCTTCCTGGGCTTCCAGTCTCACCTTCCCTTCTGCCTTCCTTTTATGTTTTATGTGATTCCATTGGACCAGTCTCGATCCAACCAATTAGTTACCTGAATTACATCTGTAAAATCTCTTAAGGAGTACAGTAACAGAGTCACGTTCCCAGGAATTAGGATGTGGATTCTTTTGGGGGGTAGGGAGCCGTAATTCTGCTTGCCACCCCTGACCTGGACATTGGCAGCCATGGATACCTAAGCGCAGAGTCCTGATGAACGACCCAGAGGGACATCATGCCTCCTGCCAGGTGACCAGGGCCAGCGGCAGCCCTGCTAGGTCTCTTCTTACCCTGGGAGGTGTCAGTGAAGTGGGTATGGGAGCTCAGGACCATTTGCCCTGCCCACCAAGGCTCATCCAGGAATTGGCCTCGCATGTTATTATTATTATTTCATGAATAACATTTTAAAATATCAGAAACACTCTCATGAAAATCTAGATTTTTTTTTTAATTCGTTAGTTCTGGCACCCGTGAGTTCCTGGCCAGACTGAAACTGGGGGAGGCGGGGTGTGGGAGGCGGGTCCGCGCCCTCTCCCCAGAGGCATCTGCCCTAGGAGGCCCCACTGCTTGCTCACCCAGCATTACCAGGCCTCCGCTAGCACGGGGAGGGGCCCAACATATGCCGGGCAGGGGCCAGCGGCAGCCGCTGCGTATATATTAACGCAGTTCTCAAATCAACCCCGGGCCAAAGGCCTGATTGCCGTGTGACTGGAACAGAAAGCCCGCGCGCGCGGGTGGGGACGCGGCCAGGTGGCCTCTCGGTTACTCCGCGACCGACCCTCGCGCTCCCCGACCGACGCTCGCGTCCCCGCCCCCGGCTCCGAGCGCGGCCGCGACCCGCAGGCCCTCCTCCGGTCCTCCGCCCTGGGGCCGCCACCGTCACGTGCGGGCCCCGCGGCCGAGCCCACAGTCCGCGGCGTAGCGCCGCAGCTCCCGCGTCCCTGCCGTCGCGATGCCCGGGGCTGGCAGAGCCCGGCGTTTGCTCCACCCGTGCCCACAGCCCCCCGAGGAACCGCCCGCCCCGGAGGTAAGGCACGGCGCCCCGAGGTTGCCTTCCTCGCGCGGGCCACCCTGGGGCGTCGGGGTAGCAAGCGAACCCGCGCCGGGCGCTGGAAACGAAGGTCAGTGCGGGGAAGCGGGCGAGGAGCCGCTCCTCGCGGACTGTGCCCCGGGCTGGCGGCGCTCCGGGTGCTCAGAGGGGAAGCGCACTCCTGCTGGCGCCCCTGGACCAGCTCCCCGGGCCGCAGCCCCGCAGGCTGCAGTTACTGGGGGAGCTGTCAAGCCAATTCCCCTGGCCGCCGCCCTCGGCGGGGCCGGCCGAGCTGGGATGGGCACCGGGCTCCGAGTTGGGATCCTGTCCCAGCAGAACGGGTTCCTGTGAGCTCCCCGTCGGGGCGGCCCGTGCACGCCCGCGCTTCACTCCATGGCGGCGGAAAAGATCTTGGGGTCCGATGGCAGGGAAACTCCCGGGAGGAGGGCTGCAGGATGGGGGTCTGGGAGTGCTGGTGCAGCTGGCTCCCCGATCCCTGCGGGGCCGAGCACAGGCTCTGCACAGCCGCTCAGCTGTTTTCGCTCTGACAGCCGAGCTTCCAGGCAGTCCTTTCTGGACCGTTTCCGTTCGCTAGTCCAAGACTCCGCAGAGAGGGAGGCCCTGCTCCCTTGGTAGGGGCGCCGGCTCTGACTGAGGAAATCTGAACTGTGCATTACGAGAGGATGGAGCCAGAAGCATGGTTTGGCCTCTGGGTACCCCCTCCTGCGGTGGGGGTGATAAATAACACCGTCCAGAGGAGTGGGGGAGACAGTGGTCTTCAGGCCCAGAGCACGCAGTCAGGCCCAGGGCAATGACAGCCAGGCCTCAGGCATCCCCGGGCCCATTCATGTGTGCTGCTTTGGCGTTTGGTTGGAAGTGTGTGGAAAGTGGGGGTGTTTTAGTCCCTCTTCCCGGCCTCCCTGAGCTGGCCCGTTCAGCTCTTCTCTTCTGGGGTATAGCCCTGCCTCTGCTCAGCGGGCTCCTGCAGCCTGCTCTGGTTGGCACAGGCCAGGCTCAGGTGAGGGGTTTAAGAACCCTGCTGGTGCGTTGGCCCCCTTCTCTGGCCTGTTGGCATCCCAAAGGGCCTTGGGCACTTCCAGAAAGTGGTTTTACTGTCCCCTAACCCTAAGGGAACAGGTGGAGGAGAGCCAGTCAAGGAGAAAGACGAGGGATGGATTCTTGGTCCCCAGCTCTGACCCAGCCCAGGCTTTGCTCTGTCATTCTGCACAGTGATGGGTCTGGGATCACCAGTCTTCCATGGCAATAAAATTGTTTTAACTTGAGACTATTCTGTGTACTTAATGCTTTGTTGTCTAAGCAAAGAAAGAAAAGACTAATAATTTGAAACCTCAAGAAATGCAGGGAGCTGAAAGCAGCTCAGAGGCCTGGCTGAGTCCTGTGTGAGGGGTTTGGCTTTAATGCATGTCTTCAGGATCCAGGTATTTCTGTCTCGGTATCTTTCAAAGACCTTTCAAAGGAGTGCAGGCATAAAAGGCCAGAAGCCAGGTACCAAAAGGTAATTCTCAGGAGATCTCCTTGTTTACTGAGATAACAGCAATGACTGAGTCATTAAACCGAGGCTCTGACCTCAGACGCTTGGTGGCCAGTATGACCTGGTTAACCTATTTAAAAGTTAGTTTGGGGTCACTTAATAAGAAACTGCCTAGTCACCTAAATACATTTCCACTCTGTCCTTTCAAGCAGTTTTTTTAGAACACTTTTCTACCTGGAGGTTCTTTTGGCAGCTCCTAAGATGGCAACCCACTCCTTGGTGCATTTCCCAACACTTTCAGATTTGCAATAGAAACAATCCAGTGGCAGCTAACAAACCTCGCTGTTGTTAGCATTACCTGGGGGAGCTTTCAGAAATGCACCTGGGTTCAGGTGCTACCCCTGATACTCTGATTTAATTGGCCTGGGTGTGGCCAGGCAACAGGAACTTTAAAGCTACCAGGTTAAAGCCAAGGCTGATAGCCTGCGTTCTATGCTGTTTCTTTGTGACTCAATGTGATCACCTCTTGACACTTTATGTACTTGTTTTTGAATGTTGTTATTCTTAAACCTTTTCATCCAAGCCCTGGATTCTGCTGTCTTTGGGCTCATGGTCTCCTGGTGTTTGCTTACAGTGATGTGTAGAGAAGTCCTCTGCAGGAGGAAAATGGCAGTAACTTGGAGGGCTTGGGAGAATTAGGTAAATGGGGCAGTCACCAGCTGAAATGCCCACAAGGGCCAGGGAGAAACCAGGGGCCTGGGTGGGAATGAGGTAAGTCGGGCTTGTGGGAACCTGGAGAGCATGTCCAAGACTCAAAATGACCATAGGTGCCCACCTCCAGTTAGTTATGATCCCCTGGGCCATCATCGATTGCAAAAATGGCCACAAACTCTTCCCATCCTGGATACATTCCCCATTTACAACCAGCCTTTGCAACTACTTATATCAGGATGTGGAGTCAGTTTCTCCAGCCCTTGAGACCATCAGCCATGAGACTTGCTTTGGCCAATGGGACATTAGCAGATGTGATGCAAGTAGAGGTATGAAAAATACTGGAGCATTGCTCGTGGGAACACTTGGACCACCACCCTGTGAAGGAGCCCTGGCTAGCCTGTGGCAAGATGCACATGGCCAAGACATGTGAGTGCAGCGTTTCTAGACCAGCCAGCCCCAGATAACCCTAGGGAGCAGCTGGGTTGGCCTGGACCGGAAGGACTGCCTGGCTGACCCACAGAATCTGGGGAGATAATAAGTGTTTGTTCAGGTGACTGAGTACCAGGGTGGGTAGCAAAAGCTTACTGAAATACAGCCCACACTGTCAGATGTTATGATCTCTTAAAGAGAAACCAGAAGTTCTCATTTTTGTGTAAGCTCCAGTTTTTAAAAAATTTGTATTAATGGTCAGCATCCACAGAGCACTGTGTGGGCCAAACAAAACACATCTTTAGGCTGCCCTTGGCCCACTAGCTGTTGGCCTTCTGGCATAGGGGGACGTGAAGTGTTGGCACCAGCACCAAACTGCCACCTATTGTCGCACCATCTTGCCACGCTGCTGTGCCCAGCCAACCCTTAGCAGCTGGTTCTTCAAATGGAATGCCCACAATATACTTTCCAACCCCAGCTTCTCTTGGTAGTCTTTCCAAATGGAAGTGGAAGCTGCTTATATTGCCAGTCTTCATGGAGAAAGGGAAATTTTGAGATGGGCCCCCAATGAGGGAGATCCACCCCTGGCTTTAAGTAAGCAAGACATCAAGGGGTGAAAGTGAGGCTGGTTGTGGGCCAGTGGACGATGAGTCCACCAGTTTTGGCTAGAGAAGAGGGTTCCTGTAGGGAAAGTAGGGGAGACAAAGTTGGAGAGGTGGGAGGAGTTGTGAAGCCCTTAAATATGAAGCCAGGGGTTTGACATCTGATTCTGAGGGCACTCTAGGCAAAGAGAAGTCACTTGCAGCTGTTGAATGGGGGTTGCAAGGGAAAGCAATGATCACCTCTGTTGTGGGCATCAGTGTGCCTGTGACCTACAGCAGGAAGGGAGGGAGACAGAGGTAGATGGAAGGTACAGTGCTTATAGTGACAGAGGGAAAAACATGGGCAAGAGTTTTCCTTCAAATTTACACTAACTGGACAGCTACATGTAAGAGAATTAAACTGGATCATCATCTAACCCCATGCACAACAGTAAATTTGAAATGAATCAAAGACCTGAATGTAAGTTATGAAACCATAAAACTCTTAGAAAAAAACATAGGCAAAAATCTCTTGTACATAAAGATGAGCAACATCTTCATGAACATATCTCACTGGGCAAGGGAAACAAAAGCAAAAATGAATAAGTGGGACTCTATCAAGCTGAAAAGCTTCTGTACAGCAAAGGACACCATCAATAGAACAAAAAGGCATCCAACAGTATGGGAGAATATATTTATAAATGACATATCCAATAAAGGGTTGACATCCAAAACATACAAAGAGCTCACACACCTCAACAAACAAAAAACAAATAAACCAGTTAAAGAATGGGCACAGGATCTGAACAGACACTTCTCCAAAGGAGAAATTCAAATGGCCATCAGACACATGAAAAGAAGCCCCACATTGCTAATCATCAGGGAAATGATTAAAACCACAATGAGCTATCACCTCACACCAGTTAGGATGGCCAACATCCAAAAGATAAGAAACAACAAATGCTGGTGTTGATGCAGAGAAAGGGGAACCCTCCTACACTGCTGGTGGGAATGTAAACTAGTTCAACCACTGTGGAAAGCAGTATGGAGGTTCCTGAAAAAGCTCAAAATAGAAATACCATTTGACCCAGGAATCCCACTTCTAGGAATTTACCCTAAGAATGCAGCACTCTAGTTTGAAAAAGACAGATGTACCCCTATGTTTATCGCAGCACTATTTACAATAGCCAAGAAATGGAAGCAACCTAAGTGTCCATCAGTAGGTGAATGGATAAAGAAGACGTGGTATATATACACAATGGAATATTATTCAGCCATAAGAAGAAAACAAATCCTACCATTTGTAACAACATGGATGGAGCTAGAGGGTATTATGCTCAGTGAAATAAGCCAGGTGGAGCAAGACAAGTACCAAATGATTTCACTCATCTGTGGAGTATAAGAACAAAGAGAAAAACTGAAGGAACAAAACAGCAGCAGAATCACAGAACCCAAGAATGGACTAATAGTTACCAAAGGGAAAGGGACTAGGGAGGATGGGTGGGAAGGGAGGGACAAGTGGCGGGGAAGAAAGGGGGGCTTACGATTAGCATGTATAATGTTGGGGGGGCATAGGGAGGGATGTACAACACAGAGAAGTCAAGTAGTGATTCTACAGCATCTTACTACACTGATGGACGATGACTGTAATGGGGTATGTGGGGGGGACTTGACGATGGGGGAGTCTAGTAAACATAATGTTCATGTAATTGTAGATTAATGATACCAAAATAAAATAAATAAAAAAAAGAAAGATAAAAAAATTACAGTAACTTCTGTTTACCTTAAGTTATGGGTGGTCATCTTAGTTTTCTTATGTATCTAAACAACATAGCGGCTTTTTTCAAAGCACTTCTATTAACAGCTTGGTGGTCTGTCAAGATTCTTGGTGCCTGACTCATGCGGAGCTCAGGGTTGTCTCTTTCTACACTGAGGGCTTCCTTGCTGTCCACTGAGAGCTTCTGGAATCCATCTGCCCCTCCCTCCTACACGCCCTCCGCCCCTTCTCCCTAAGGGGTTCTAAGGTATTCACCTTTCCTCAGAATGAAGGCTTCCAAAGTTGGGAGGGTGGCAAGAGAAAATACAGAAATGTTAATACATTTTTAAATCTTGTGGAGAGGAAAGGAAATGTCCCAGCTGTGAGAAGAGGAAAAGAAGCCGAGAGAAGTCAGTTATTGCCACCGCAAAATGAAAATACAAAATATGAGGACGAGTGGTAAAAATGGCCATACTTAGACCAGCGGTTTTCAGTCTTAACTGCAGGTTGGAATCACCTGGGAGCTTTAAAAATTCAATCCTGGGTCTCACTTCCCAGAGATGCTGATGCAACGGGATCTTTAAAAGCCAGAGCTCTGAAGGTGAGTGTAGTGTGTGGTGGAGCTGAGAACCACCGCCCTGGCGGTCACCAGGGCCTCCCAGGCTGGGCTGCTATTTTGAGGGACAAAGCCACTTATAAGCTGCATCTGGGGGAACATCTGCTCTTCAGTCTTTGCCATTTTCATGGTGGATATGGGCAGCAGTTCCCATGTAAACTTGAAAAGCATGTGTAGCTATGGAGCAGCATGTTTAATATAAGCCATATTCTTGGGTTGAATGAAAACTATTTGTTTTATGGGAGGATACAAATGGCCTTAATCCAAGCGAGGATGCTCATGACACTAAGCCTGCCTGTTAAGAGGATGAATTCCCAAGCAGAAATGGGCAGGAGACTTAAAAGTCGCACACAAATGGGACACAGGGAAGGAAGACAAGTAGGGCTTGAAGATAGAGCAGATGAGACTTTAAAAGGAGGCTGATGTCAGAATGTAATTGCACTTAGTAATGGGAAAGTGTTGAAATGCTAATATAAAGGTAAACTAACTGTTATGAAAGTGTTGGCACATTTCAACATCACAGGCATGAATTCAGATGGCAAGGGGGTATGGGGAAGGGTGCCATGGTGCTTAGATCACTCACTGTCCAGTGTCTGGGTGATGTCTGATGGAGGTAAAGTGCTGAGGCCCAGCTGGCCAGGTTACTGGTGAGCATTTGTTTCTGTTCCCCACTTGGAAGGTGTGTGGCTGATGCACCTCAAATTTACAATTGTCAAACTGCTCATCTTGTGGACAAATTGTTTCTCTGGGGCTGGAAGGCTGTTAGTAGCATTGTCTTTTAAAATTGGGAACAAGAGTGGCTTTAAGAGATTTTGCTTTAAATATTTTTTAAAGCCTTAATATCAGAATTCTTTGCTGTCCCAGTATGATCTTTTTGAGGCTCAGTGGAACTTCTCAAAATTAGTGTGTGTTCATTAAAAAAAAAAAATCAACTCTTACTGGTTTTAGACATTTTTTTTACCTAAAAGAGATTTCTAAGCATATCCTGGAAACACTGAGGAACACTGAGGAAAACATAAGGTAGTTTCAAAAGTCATCAAGAAAGGCAATGATTTTCTTGTCAAATTACCCTTGAAACCCCTTCCCCCAACTACTTATAAATAAAAAATGTAATTTTGTATTTGTGTTTTTGTGTGTCTATAGCCTGTTGGCCAAGAACTGAAACAAAGAGCCTGGTCGGGCTAAACAGACACAGTTTCATTCAGGGTTTGTCAGGACTGCAGGCCAGGAGACACAGATTCAAGAGGCACTTGAGTTGTGTTCCTCCAGACCCCAAAATGGGAAAGGCTTTTGAAGGCCAAAACCACAAGCTTAAGGAAAATCACATAAGCTTTTTGTCAGAAATTAAGATTGGTGCTGGTGAGAGGTGAGGGTGCATATTAAGTAAGGATCCACAGGGGGTAACCTGAGAACCACCAGGTTAGTTTGCAGCTGGTATTCTGAAAAGCTAAAGGTCGCAGTCACAGCAGAATTTGGTCACGTCAGTCCTTGAGACAGTGATTTAGCACGGCTTAAAGTTCAAGTTCACATTGGAGTGAGGGTGTGTTGGGCCCCTCTCCACAGTGTCTGCCATTGTTTATCTGAAAAACTCCATTGTGTCTGACAAATGTGACTCCATCTTGATATTTTTAGAGAGTCAAAAATATGTTCACAAGCCCTATGTATGTCTGTTTGAATTCAAGAAAGTTGAACGTGCTTGTGTCTCAGTGCCACTGCAGACGCTCAGTGCCCAGGAAAACATCTGGAGGTGCACATACAATGCTATTGAATTACCTCTGGCAAGAGTGGGTTTGGAGTAGGCAGTGGAGGTGGAGGGGAGTTCCTTTTGTACTAGATACATAGTTATAAACAAAAAAAGAACATCCTTTCCTCCTCTGACTGTTGTTCTCCCCTTACTTTCTCCCAAGGAGGAACAGGACCTGCTCCTGGCAGCTGCCTATGTTTCTGACGCCCAGTACAACAGGAATATTCCATTTGAAACATCCCCTCGGGCCATCAGGTAAAACGTTAAACCGTCATGTAGAACCACCTGACCTTCAGCACTTACTAGTCGAAGTTGAACCCAAACTGAAGATACTGTTCCCACACATAATTTGAGAACTCTATACGGTATGGCATATCCAAAACGACTTGGACAAAATCCAATGTTTTTTTTAAGGTATAAAAGCAGGGTGCCTCACACATAGGGAAGCATTCAATAACTATATTAAAGACAGATAAGTGAGCAGGAGATGGGGCCCGCCAACTACAACCCAAGGTCATCCTCTTTTCACCTTAGACAGAGTTGTCCCCTCAGAGCCACCTGAATCAAAAGATGTGTTCTTTTTCTTTCTGTTGCCTTTTGATGAAATTTGTGTATTTGTTCTTTTCATGAGAATTCAGCTCTCTGTCTCAGTCCCTAGAGGATGGACTAAGACCAAGGATTTGGCTCAGGATAACGAAAACCATTTCAGACCATCAGGGCTCAGCGTTAGTGCCCCCAAAGCAGTGAGCGCCTATTCCTGGCTGCCGTCGAGCAGTCTGGGGGACCGTCCCCCTGCCCAGGAAGAGCATATGTGATCGTGAGATCTCTCTGACTCCACCAAGACACATGCATGATGCATAGTTTAAATCGGCCAGGCTGCCATCCACATAATTGGTCCTTTTAACTGAGGATTTCCTCTGCGTCAGTCACTGTTCCAAGTCCTCTAAAAGAATTCTCTTATTGCCACAACCACCCCATGAGGAAAGGCCTGATCCTGGCTTGAGTGTTACGGGAATGTGCTGTGAGATATGATGATATCCCTGATTTTTTTCTGTTAGTGTTTTGTAGTGTGCATTCAATTCTACACCACCCTTTTGCTCCGTTGAATGTAAAGGGAATGTGGCCAGAGCATAGCTTGTATTTTACCTGCCACTGGTGTTCTGATGGGATAACAGGAAGTTTGGGTCCTGCCTAATCCCACACCTTGTTTATAATCACCTTTATTCTTTTCCTCTTCAGGCTTTACTATTTTTATAACCACTGGACAATGCGATTTGCCACCTACTTCTTTATCTGTGTAGACCTTTCCCTCGCCCTGTTTGAGGAACCTGCCTTGTTTCCAGTACCTTTCTTGGTAAGGATTAAAGACGGACTGGCTGACCAGACTTTGTCACACGTGTGTTGGACCCCACTCCTCTTACTTTTCTTTCTCAAATTTCAATAACTATGCATTTGGTTTTATTTTTATTGCTGGGGTTGGAAGAACTCTGCCTACTACCTGAGCTGATGCTTCAATCATAAGGCTTTTTAAATAGAGCGGAAGAATTTTCTCTGCTCTGCACACAGGGTTATGGATAGAAAAATGATATTTTGAAAGCATATTTCTTTACTGGCAAGTGGACAGTTTTGTAAGGTAGTGTAATATTCACCTTGCACATGCCACATTCTCAGCTTTTTTTCATAGTATATGTTCACAATGTTCTCATGCTAATTCCCAACCCGACGCTGCTCTCTTCTCTGACGGTAGTTGTGACAGAGACTGTGTCACTTGCAAGTCCTAAAATATTTATTCTCTGGTCCTTTCACAGGTAAAGTTCATGGGCCCCTCCCTTTAAAGAACAGGCTTGTATTTTCTCCCGTGATTCTGTGGGTGAGTGGGCTAACTGGGCATATTTTTGCACATGGAGACTTGGCTGGTGTAGTAGGTATCTGGGTGCTCTGGAGATCTCTGGAGGCTGGGAGCCTACCTGCAGGAGCGGTGGGCCAGAGTGCCCCCTGCTGTCTCCCACACTGCTGCTCCACAAGGCTTAGGTTCTCCCCGTGGTGGTGGTGAATCCAAGAAGCAGCATCCCAGTGTGCAGGCTCTGTCAAGCCTCCTCTTGCATCACACTTGCTGAGGTACAAAGTCCGTCAGGTGCCCAAGCCCTGAGTCAGCAGGAGAGGACCCTGCATAAGGGAATGGAAACCACATTATTCACTGGGGGCCACCAAGGTGACGGTCTGCACACTTCCGTGTGATCCAGATTCTGCAGTTAGTGAAGTCTCTGGGTAGAAAACTTCTAGCTTCGTGACTATCCAAACAAAGTCTGAAGAAGCAGAGCTGTGCTTTCACAGACCCACCTGAGTCTCTCCTTAACACTGGCCCATCTGGACCCAGGGAAACATTCTACAGGGTTGTCTGTGCAGCTCCTTGCCTATCTCCTGAGTCCTCACCCCTCTGCACATTACTGGTTGCATCGAGCCTTGGGTTGGCCTGAGTTTCAGTGTTCCTTCAGCCAGCATTTGTACCTCAAGTCTCGAAAACCAAATGTGTTATGGGTGCTCTGGCCCTGATCTAGCATCAACAGGCAAATATTATTTTCAGCAAGGGTGTCCTGGAATTGCCCCAGGCCATTTTGCAAGCCTGACCTTGACAGTGAGTCCCTACAGCCCTTCAGGGATGGACAGGCTGAGAGCCAGAAGTTTGGCAAGGGGGAGGAGCCTGTGTATGTGCCCAGGACATAGGTGCTTGGGGTTGGAGGGTGGGGATTGCATCACCTGCTGCTCTCAGAGTCCAGAGCCAGCCCCTTCCTCCCTGTCCCTTAGGGAGTCCATCCCTCCAGCCTTCACACCAGACCTTTCCGTCTTCCTGGCCTAAGCCTTAGGCCCTCCCCATCTCTTCGTACTTTGTCACCCTCCCTCCCTACTGATGGAGGAAAGTGCCTGCAGGGAGAAACTACCACTTCACGCAATCATGGGCAAAGCAGGGCCTGCAAATCTCACCACCTGTAGGGAGTTGGGAGGTCGTGCGCTGCACCTCACAGAGGAGAGGCCAGGCCTGAGCACTGGGTCTCAGTGGCCTCCATTCCCTAACTCACCAAATAGGGCATCAGGGGCAGTGAAGTCCAAGGAATGACCCACCATTCCAAAACACATCTTCGGAGAGTTACTCTGCTATTAGGGAAACTGAACGTCCCGCGCTATCTCTTCTGAATTTGAACATGTGCCTCTGCTGTCCCTGGCCTTCCCTGTCCTAGGGACCTGCCCTCTGGGGCCTCTGCCTGAATGGGCCCCAATCAGCAAGCCCTGCCAATTGGGTGGGGAGTTCGAGGCTCCAGGACAGGTTTCCTTTTAAGAGGAAGAAACCATTCCAATCAGCAAAGAATTTTGCTGCAACTTGCCATAAAATTAACAACATCGCTGATTCTCAGAGGCTGGCATTGAGGGGGCGTTGGGGGGCTATGAGAGAACTGAGTTGTGCCCCTGATGGCCGGGTGCTGTGCTGAGTCTCTGTTTTCGGCGTGCAGGCTACCTCCTTAGTGGAAGTGCTCTGTCTGACGGCGTTCTTCGGGAGACTCATACATTTTGCAAAAGTCACTCCTCAAATGGTCTTCTGGAAGGATATGAAGAACATCTGCATCATGGTGGCCATAGTGGTGAGTGCTCACTGTCGTGCCTTAAGAGTCTGCCATCAAAGGCGAGAACTGTGAAGAAAAAGACTGGGTTGGTCTGACTCAGTTAAGGCAGAGGATGGCTTCAGTTCAGCAGAAGGCATTGGCACGAGTAACTGCCTCTTGACCTTCCTGAGGTTTATCCTTTCAAAGCTCTCCCTTTGCTTTGCTCTGTGAAGCCTTGCCAGACAGAACCCTTGGTGATGTGCCCGTCCCTGCGTCCTGGGACAGCCACACCCGTTCCTCCGGGGGTTGCCCAGTGCGGCAGCCAGCATGCCCGCTTTCTGTGTCCATGTCCCTCTCCTGGTGTTGCATCCTTGCACTGGATCCTCGGTGCCCTGCCACCAAAGGCCCTGAATTAACATTTTTTAATATGGTAGATGATTCTTTTTCACTTGCATTTTTCTAACATACACTGGGTTATTCTTTTGCCCTGTCCTCAGTGATCACAAACCTGCCCCTAATAAGGATCAGTATAAGGATTTTCTGTATCCTAGATATTCCTGCCTTTGTTACTAGGATAGACAACTGCTCTTTGGTGTGTCAAGTTGAAGAAAAGCTACAATTGAGTAAGACGGAGTATGGGAGCAGGACACTGCAAATGCTCTGCCCTCAGCCTGCCCGGGTTCCCGGCTCAGTTCTGTACTTACTGGCTATGTGATCACAGGCCATGGGCTCACCCTCTCTGTGCCTCAAGCATCTCCATCTAGGAAAAGTGCCTGCCCGCCTTAGGGGCTTGGTGAGGATGACATAGAATAATTATGGAAGGTGCTTTTTATACTCTGTGGCTAGTAAACACACAAATGACGGCTACTATTAATGTTACATCGCAAACTGTGAAAATCGCATTTTTCATGACATATTGTGACCCTCCTTCCAGATCCGAGAACAGGTATCCACACCATCACTTCCTCTGTCCCCTAGCGTGTGGCACTGACATCTGTCCCGTGTCTCTCACAGCTGACCTTAATCGATCTGATTATCTATGGGTCTCTGGAAGCTGTTAACATTCACAGCATTCGATGGTCCAGGGTCTTAAGGCCAGTCTTCCTAATTAACTTCCCCGAGAGTCGTCAGGTAAGGATACACTTTAGGATGCATGAGGGCTTGGGCTTGACTTTGGTTTTTGCAGAAAATTAGCCAATTTCTTGTAAATGACATGAAATTTTGTCTTCACAGATCCGAAGGGCTTTCCGAAGCATCCGGAACACTCTGCCTGATATCCTCTATGTCTTCCTCCTATTTATGTTCAATATGCTCATATTCTCCCTTATGGCCTTGAAGCTTTTTGGGGATAGGTGAGCAGGCCTCTCTGGAAGTTTCTACCCATGAATGCTTGCATGATTGGCTCAGCCTGTTGGTGGCCGTGTCTGTCACCGGGTGCCACCTTCCTCATTCAAACACCCTAGAAGTGTTCTTGAAGGAGGAAAAATGTTTCAGAAACCACAATTTTATTTATGTGGGTAGGTTTTTCACTTTGTGTTTTTGGTTCCTCTTTAGGGATCTTAAAACGGTGGAAGGATCGGCTTACTTCACAAACATCCTGGAGATAGCATTTGAGCTCTACGTGCTGGTCACGACTGCGAACAGCCCAGACGTCATGTATGCTTGTCCCCAGTTCATGTTCATGGACATCTGTTACTGCAGTAGAACTCACTTTGTTCAAAGCAGCTGTCTCCTGACACTAGCTGGACTGAGAGAGGGAAAATAGTGATTTTCTATTTATTCATATTCATGGTAAAATTTTGAAGAATACAAAATTTTACACTCGTGATAGCATACCCTTTCTATGTCACACTAAAGTTAGATGACTCTTTTAAAAATTGAAAACAACAGGGGACATTGTTTGAGATACAACTCTTAAATATTTGAGTCCGCTTTTTATTGTGAAATTTTCATTTAAGTGTTGAATTCAAACATCTTTGTAAAGGACTCGTGGCTTGTTCCCCTAAGCACTGATGCGGTTTTCTGGCTAAAGGAAATAGGCAAGACAAGTAAGCATTAGTAGTTGTCATCTTTCCCCCCCGAATGCCAGTTCTTCACACTTGTGGACTTTACTTAGGAGGACAACACTGTGTTTTATTCTACTGTCCTTTGTATTATGGGTTTACCTTGATCGTGAAGGTAGAATTATTAAACAGTGCTCCACTGAGTACATGGCTCTAGGGTGTGGACGGAGCTCTAACTGCAAATGCCAGTGTCCCATTTCATCCTATGCTGCGTTTTGCGCCTGTCCCCTAGTCCCGAACGGGATCATCATAGCAACTTGCTTTTGGCTGTTGCTCACTCCCAGGCCTGGCATAGGCAAAACAGAAGAGAGGGGAAGCTCCCAGCCCTCCTGGGTTCCCCTGGCTCTTTCCCTCTGACCCCAGGCTGCCAGCCGTGCCAGCACTCCCATTTCCACCAGTGTGGTGCTGGCAGGCATCCTGGCTTGTGTCTCTTTCCTGGTGCCTTGATGAATGGTGCCCCTTTTGTTCTCACGGTTCCCTGTGGATAGAAAATTGTCTGGCTCCCCAGCAGGCAATCTGGTGTCCCTGTAGGGTCTTGAGTGTAAACCCAAGCCACACTTCGATTCCTCTGTAATTCTGGGCAAGGTGCTCTCTTTCTAGGCCTCTATTTTCAAAATGATGGTAGGGAATGGGACTGGGGGATCTCCCAGATCCAACCTGCTTGGCAAGTTGGTGCCTCTATGAGGTGCTCAGAATTCCAGAAGGTAGGTTTGGATTCACTGTCGTGCCTTAAGAGTCTGCCATCAAAGGCGAGAACTGTGAAGAAAAAGACTGGGTTGGTCTGACTCAGTTAAGGCAGAGGATGGCTTCAGTTCAGCAGAAGGCATTGGCACGAGTAACTGCCTCTTGACCTTCCTGAGGTTTATCCTTTCAAAGCTCTCCCTTTGCTTTGCTCTGTGAAGCCTCGTCAGACGGAACCCTTGGTGATGTGCCCGTCCCTGCGTCCTGGGACAGCCACACCCGTTCCTCCGGGGGTTGCCCAGTGCGGCAGCCAGCATGCCTGCTTTCTGTGTCCATGTCCCTCTCCTGGTGTTGCATCCTTGCACTGGATCCTCGGTGCCCTGCCACCAAAGGCCCTGAATTAACATTTTTTAATATGGTAGATGATTCTTTTTCACTTGCATTTTTCTAACATACACTGGGTTATTCTTTTGCCCTGTCCTCAGTGATCACAAACCTGCCCCTAATAAGGATCAGTATAAGGATTTTCTGTATCCTAGATATTCCTGCCTTTGTTACTAGGATAGACAACTGCTCTTTGGTGTGTCAAGTTGAAGAAAAGCTACAATTGAGTAAGACGGAGTATGGGAGCAGGACACTGCAAATGCTCTGCCCTCAGCCTGCCCGGGTTCCCGGCTCAGTTCTGTACTTACTGGCTATGTGATCACAGGCCATGGGCTCACCCTCTCTGTGCCTCAAGCATCTCCATCTAGGAAAAGTGCCTGCCCGCCTTAGGGGCTTGGTGAGGATGACATAGAATAATTATGGAAGGTGCTTTTTATACTCTGTGGCTAGTAAACACACAAATGACGGCTACTATTAATGTTACATCGCAAACTGTGAAAATCGCATTTTTCATGACATATTGTGACCCTCCTTCCAGATCCGAGAACAGGTATCCACACCATCACTTCCTCTGTCCCCTAGCGTGTGGCACTGACATCTGTCCCGTGTCTCTCACAGCTGACCTTAATCGATCTGATTATCTATGGGTCTCTGGAAGCTGTTAACATTCACAGCATTCGATGGTCCAGGGTCTTAAGGCCAGTCTTCCTAATTAACTTCCCCGAGAGTCGTCAGGTAAGGATACACTTTAGGATGCATGAGGGCTTGGGCTTGACTTTGGTTTTTGCAGAAAATTAGCCAATTTCTTGTAAATGACATGAAATTTTGTCTTCACAGATCCGAAGGGCTTTCCGAAGCATCCGGAACACTCTGCCTGATATCCTCTATGTCTTCCTCCTATTTATGTTCAATATGCTCATATTCTCCCTTATGGCCTTGAAGCTTTTTGGGGATAGGTGAGCAGGCCTCTCTGGAAGTTTCTACCCATGAATGCTTGCATGATTGGCTCAGCCTGTTGGTGGCCGTGTCTGTCACCGGGTGCCACCTTCCTCATTCAAACACCCTAGAAGTGTTCTTGAAGGAGGAAAAATGTTTCAGAAACCACAATTTTATTTATGTGGGTAGGTTTTTCACTTTGTGTTTTTGGTTCCTCTTTAGGGATCTTAAAACAGTGGAAGGATCGGCTTACTTCACAAACATCCTGGAGATAGCATTTGAGCTCTACGTGCTGGTCACGACTGCGAACAGCCCAGACGTCATGTATGCTTGTCCCCAGTTCATGTTCATGGACATCTGTTACTGCAGTAGAACTCACTTTGTTCAAAGCAGCTGTCTCCTGACACTAGCTGGACTGAGAGAGGGAAAATAGTGATTTTCTATTTATTCATATTCATGGTAAAATTTTGAAGAATACAAAATTTTACACTCGTGATAGCATACCCTTTCTATGTCACACTAAAGTTAGATGACTCTTTTAAAAATTGAAAACAACAGGAGACATTGTTTGAGATACAACTCTTAAATATTTGAGTCCGCTTTTTATTGTGAAATTTTCATTTAAGTGTTGAATTCAAACATCTTTGTAAAGGACTCGTGGCTTGTTCCCCTAAGCACTGATGCGGTTTTCTGGCTAAAGGAAATAGGCAAGACAAGTAAGCATTAGTAGTTGTCATCTTTCCCCCCCGAATGCCAGTTCTTCACACTTGTGGACTTTACTTAGGAGGACAACACTGTGTTTTATTCTACTGTCCTTTGTATTATGGGTTTACCTTGATCGTGAAGGTAGAATTATTAAACAGTGCTCCACTGAGTACATGGCTCTAGGGTGTGGACGGAGCTCTAACTGCAAATGCCAGTGTCCCATTTCATCCTATGCTGCGTTTTGCGCCTGTCCCCTAGTCCCGAACGGGATCATCATAGCAACTTGCTTTTGGCTGTTGCTCACTCCCAGGCCTGGCATAGGCAAAACAGAAGAGAGGGGAAGCTCCCAGCCCTCCTGGGTTCCCCTGGCTCTTTCCCTCTGACCCCAGGCTGCCAGCCGTGCCAGCACTCCCATTTCCACCAGTGTGGTGCTGGCAGGCATCCTGGCTTGTGTCTCTTTCCTGGTGCCTTGATGAATGGTGCCCCTTTTGTTCTCACGGTTCCCTGTGGATAGAAAATTGTCTGGCTCCCCAGCAGGCAATCTGGTGTCCCTGTAGGGTCTTGAGTGTAAACCCAAGCCACACTTCAATTCCTCTGTAATTCTGGGCAAGGTGCTCTCTTTCTAGGCCTCTATTTTCAAAATGATGGTAGGGAATGGGACTGGGGGATCTCCCAGATCCAACCTGCTTGGCAAGTTGGTGCCTCTATGAGGTGCTCAGAATTCCAGAAGGTAGGTTTGGAGCCAGCTGTTTAGCTTTAGGGATGGTGATGGCTTTAAGACTCCATTCCACCATCTCAGGGAGAGTTGACTGAGAGGTTTTATGTGCCTTGTGGTCTTGGATCATGTATGTGGCATGTCACCTCTTAAGCACTGTAGATCTTGGGTTTCAAAACAATGAAACATAATTATTTCCTTCTAGGATGCCTGCCTATGACTTCAATTGGTGGTATTCTCTGTACTTTATAACCTACCTCATCATCAACACCTACATCTTCATGTCCGTCTTTCTGGCTGTGGTCTACAACAATTACAGGAAGCACTTAAAGGTAACCTGCCTGATGAAGGGTGAGGAGTCGGGTACAGGCACCCGCTGGGTGCAGCTGCAGGGAGGCTGGCCAGTGCATTTGCTTAATATGTGAAAGTGTCCTTTTTCTTTTTGCTTTGGTGAGTCTGAACTTATTTGGTGTTTTCCTCTCTTCTGCTAGACAGGGCTGTTCTCAAGCAGCCTTTGCGATGGGCCTGACAGCATGTCCAGAAATCATGTGCAATAGCAGGCCCTGGCTTTGCCCCCTGCTCTTGAGGCATCAGATTGCTCATGGCTCCTTGAAACGTCTTGTGTGATTGGGGGTTGGGGATATTCTCTAAGCTTCGGACTCCATTCTGCCTCCAACTGAAGGGGAAACTTCTTAAAGCCAACAGTTTCTGCCCTGATGCCTGCCTGCTTGATTTCTGTCTGGAGAATTCCTAGAGGTGTTGGCTGGGCAGAAGCTTTGGGGTATTTGGGGTGGCCCGGATACCTCGGCCATCTCCCCTGCCCACTGGCCATGGCCACCCACCTTCACAGACCTCTGTTTGGCTTTTTTCTCATACTATAAAATTAGTTGCACAGAGAAACCTTTCAATAAAGGAGGGTTTTCCTTAAGGGTTACCTTTTGGGTTTTGATCCATTTGGTTCTGTTTTGAATTTTTCATTGCTTAGAGGGTGTTCCCACTGCTGGGCCAGTAGAAAGCAGAGAGAACTTCAGCGTGTGCAGCTAAGGCGAAGCAGGTGGTGGGGCTGAGGCTGAGATTTGGCCAAATTGGCCTTTGAACGTATCTGGCCTGTCCAGGCTCTGAGGAATCTCAGCTGTTCCTGACCCAAAGGCTGGGCTCCCAGAGACCCTCCTGTTCTGACTTCCTCCCTCTGGCTGGAAATGGGCTGCCGCAGAGAGCCTTGGGCGCCTCTCCTCTTTTACTGCGGGACAGAACTGTTACTCTGCTTCCCCTTCCTTGAAGGAAGTGTCTCTTGGTATAGCTCCTCAGAAATCAATCTTTTGCAACATGGATCAGTCAGCAAATGAATCTGAAACATGCTTTATGTGCCCAGCACCATACAGAGTTTTCAGGACTCAAAGAGGATTAAGGCCCAGGCCACACCCTCTAAGAATGTGAGGTCTCGCTGTGTAATCAAGTAAGTGAGGACCATATGTGGATACAGGCTTCCAGGCCACAGGAAGGGTGGGCATCGGGTGGCCACTGTAACTCTGCTCAGCCCCCTCCTTCTGGAAGATTCCCTGTGGTCAGGCCAGATGGCAGTTCCAGGCAGGGCTCAGCTGTTCTTCCGGCCCTGGACCTCTTCTTTCCGGACCACTTCTAGCCTAGTTTCACTTCCCTGCTTTTCCTCCTCCTCCTCGTTTTTCGATTGACTTAGTGGTAGATCTGTCTTCTCCTGCTCCTGGGTCTCCCCCTCTCTCAGCAGCATACCCGATTTCCTTCCTTTCTGGAATGTCCCCTCCTCCCGGAGTTGGGACCTGCCTGCTGCCTGCTGCTCTGTTTCTCACCTCACAGCTGCTTCTTCGTGGCTCCTTCATTTGAACTTGGTAAGAGAAGTTCTGTTTTTGCAGACAGGGCTTAGCTACGTGTACCTATAGCCAGGGAGGACTCCACACCTTGCTCATTAGCAGACCCATCTGTGCCTTCTCTTTGGCTATTGGATGGCCTGAAAATGTCTGGGATGAAGAAACGGGGCTCTCCTGAGTCTTTCTCTTAAAAAACACAATTCTGTTTTTTAAAGAATGAGATTCGCAAACTGGCATACCTGAAACGCCACAAAATGCTAGAGGCTTTCAACATTCTGAAAGTCAAGGTGGGCACAGAGTTTGTGGTTAAGAAGGCCCAGTGGAGGCGGCTGGCCAAGGTCGTGGCACCGGACATCAGCAGTTCTCACCTGGAGCTCCTCTTGAGGATCTCCGACGAGGGACAGAAGGGGCATGTGGGTAAGGAGCCTTGGCCCCTCACATCCCTCTTCCCTGTGTGCTCCAAAGTTGGGGGGCTCCAGAAAGTGATAAGTAACACTTCAGTACTGCTTTTTTATTTTTGTAAATCTGCAAATAAAAATGTATACCGGCACAGTCTGCTGGCAACAAGACAGTGGAAGCAGAGTCCTCACGCTGTGTTTGGACAGGGCCGACCTAGTGCATGTTGGCAAGGTGCAGTGAACCATCCCAAAGCCCTTACCTTGTGACATGAGCATTCCACTTCCACGCTGCTTTAGAGGAAATCTAAAATACAGCGAAGAACTGTTATCAGTGAGCAGTTGCAATAATCTGGATTGCAGTCAGTATTTGAAAGCGCAAAGTTGAAAGGAACCTACACTTTATGGGTCCGTGCTTGGTAGCTATTATTAGTAATGCTTAGTATCTGTGGCTTGGTTATCCCGTGTGGGGCGTTGTCGTGATTGTTGCCCAGGCATCGTGTGCTTGTAATCTTCCCCCAGACTCCCTGAGGTGGGGTTCTTTGTTCCTACTTGTCGATATGAAAACTGAGACTCCAAGACATTTAGTAGCTGGCCTGCAGCCACGCAGCTGTGAAGAGGAGGCCACCTGACTCCTGGTCCGTGTGTTTTACTGTTGCTCTGAACTGCCCCAAGTTCTGATAGTATTTAAAGGCACATTTTGGTGACATTAAAAATGACCACGAAGCTGAGGTACCCATGTGGAAAGATGGGAGGTGACTAAAACAAGTCCCAACCTGTACAATACCCCCATTTCACCTGTTTCAAGAGAAGCCTAGATGGAAACACACCAAAATGTAGTGGCAGGTTGTAAATTTACAAGACACAAGGGCACGCACACTAGCCCAGGAGAACCATGGGTTTTATTAGGACTTCATGCATGTGTGAGAAGAAGGAAAAGACAGTGACTCTGTGGAATTTATGTGAGAAGTGATTGCAGTGTCCAGGGAAAAAGAGAATCGTATAACAAGACACTCCCACATGGTGGCACCAGCATGTTCTGGCAAGAATTTTGGATGCAGGGTGGGAGAAGGCCTTCACTGCCTGAGTCAGCAGGGCTTGACAGGTGCCCTCTGGGGAGGCAAGTGTGTCTCCTCGGGCACCCAGCTCTGCCTCGTGGCTCTGAGTGTGATTAGGAGCCAGACTCCTCAGACCCTGAACACACTGCTCCGGTGCCCCTGTGAGGGTCGGGTGGTGATTCACGGGGCCTCACAGAGGGTCGCAGGAGGGGTCTCTGAACAGCGGGGTAGGGTGGCTGGCCCTACTGGGCAATCCTTGGGCACGGTAGTTGCTGAGATGTATGTGGTGAAGATTTTTAATTTCCAGCCTGTCGTGGACTGATACTTTGGTAAAATAGCACAAAAATGAATAACCAGAAAAATGAAATGGACAAACATGTAGAATCCACACCCAGTTTATCATTATTAGAGTCAGTGGTCCTGCCATGAGATGGTCCTGGCAATTGTTCTCCAAGCTGCTAAATTTTCAGAGCTTATCTCAGGGAGGGGAGAACACAAGAACAGAACCAGCAGGGCCCAGCCCTAGTACTTACAGGCAGCATCGGAACCTGTGTCCCCTTAGACCTCCACGCCGAGGATGGACCGATGGGGCTGGCCATGTCAGTGCAGGTGTTCCCATATTGACCCCTCTGGTCTTGGGAATTCTGTGATGATTTAGTGCTTCTGCTGTTTCTAGATGATTGGGACTCTGGAGACGTTGATGCATCTTTAGGACTTAACAAACTTTCTTTGTGATTCCTTCTGTAAAGTGAATTCCTGGATCTCTATTAAAAGGTGGGATGTTCCAAATGCAGAGGTGGGGCCTTTTCAGTCTGTCAGTCAGGCACAGGGAGGCCTTTACACTTGGGTGTCTTCTGCCCAACCAGAAAAGGTACCCATGGTCACCAGGACATACTCATGTGAACATTCCTTTGTTTACAGGGTCAGTCTATTGGCAGCTGTTTCCCAAGTGGGAGGGTGAGCTGCTTTGTCTTGACAGCTTCTTCAATGTTCTGAGCTGTTCAGCCAAGTGGATAAATACAGAGTGTACCAAACACACCTGAGTTCTCCTGGCACCCCTGTTAGTTTGGGGGTACCATTCTGCAGAGGATGGAAGCAAGAGGGAGGAGGAGTTCTTTGGTGCCACCACACCACTTTCTGTAGTCTAGCAAAGACCTGCCCATGTGCAGAAGGCTTCTCTGATGTGGTTGTGAGCGTGGACAGGGGAACATCTGCGAGAGCTACCAGACGAGGCTGGTCAGTGGCAGAGGGAGCAGAGGAGCTGAGGAGGAGGCAATGCAAAGCCATGCTGTGTGTAGAACAGTGTTGTGCGGGCCAAGAACGGCCCCAGCCAGGGAGTGTGGGGACCAGGCAACATCTTAGCGCCTCCGGAAGTGAGGGCTTCCCATCGTACAGTGCTCCGCAATTATCCGGAGATAATGGAGGTCAGCCTAAGTGTTGCAGACTTGTGAGAAATAGAAGAATCTGCCTGGCTGACGGCTGCAAATCCAGCTCCCTGGGCAGAATAGAGATGGTGAAGACCCACCTTCCATCCCTCACATGAAGAACACTGTGGACCTGTTCTGAGTTTTTATCTATTAATATTAATGCACTTTGTTAAAGACATATACACATATAGTCGTGCCAGTCGGTATGCTTAAATGACTGTGATTTAAAGCTTGAAAACTCTAGTTTTTAACAAAAGTATTTTTGTAGCCTAAGGTAATTGTTATATAATTTGGTTTTGATTTGGGTGTCATGAAGAATAAATATATTTATACATGGGGACGTAGCACTTTAATTTCTTTGGAAATCTTTAGGTAAATGCAGATTATGGACTCTTCATCTCAGTATTCATTCATCCAATACCCTGAACTCAATTAGTAATTTTGAGAAATACATTTAAGAAACCATAGGTAGTTGATCCTCTGTTAACATGAAGGATTTGCCAGAGAACTATAGAACTTTAAATGCTGCAGCCACATAGCATATGCAGCTAACTCCGTAGGGCTTTGTGATTTTCAATATTGTGTGAGATTTACACAAGCCAGTTGATAAAGATACAAGTTTTTAAATCACAGCACAGTTTAAATCGTGCTCCGGGGTTCTAGCCCATGTTTATGTTTACGGACGGACACCTATTAGGTGAAAGTGTGATACCAATTGACCTTTAAGATAAGGCAGGGGAATGTGAGACTATTCCAGCCATTTTAGCTTCTTTGGATAAAAGATTTGCATAAGCTAAAATGCTATATTTCAAGTTTGTATTTATACTGGATAAAGTCAGGAAAAAGATATGAAGCCACATCTTAAACTCTAAGTCACAGAACAGTTTATTTGTTTTCCTTTATTAGGAGCATTAAATACATTTAGATTAAAATTTTAAATTATTTTAACTTGACTTATGAAGTAATTTTATGAGATTTTAATTTTTGATTAAAACTTTTTAGATTAAAAAAATTTAACCAGATCTTTAAAAGGTATCTTTTTACTAAAAAAGGTAGAAAACTTGTTTTACTACTGATTGTAGCATATTGTTTGTTAATTTGCATGTTTTTTCTTTATTTTTCCTAACTAGGTAGAGACTCCAAGAATATTAAACCAAGTTAGAATTCCCTGGTTTCCATCTGATTTTCTTAATATATTAAGAGTATAAAAATTGTATTTAAATTGATGTTTTGTTGTTTTACATAGTTTTTACTTGTGGGGCCAGGCTTTATAAACCAATATGTTAATTCAGGGTTTTGTCTGGAAGGTACCTGTGTCAGGGAGAGAATCATTTCATGACCGAGTTCACATAACACTGGTTGAGCATTTTTAATACTTCGATGCAAACTGCGAGTTTGTCGCAGATTTTTGTTAAAAGAAAAGAAGGTGGTCATTGAGCTTGGAATTCCCTTTCTATCTTAGTGATTGTTTTCCTTTGTAATGTTTGGTTTATTTTTTAAAAGGATAGCATTATTTAAAGCATACAGAAGTTTTCCTTGATTTCAAATTTTGAGAGAATCTTTAAGTCTCCATTGAGAATTTAAGGAATGGATAATGTTCACCTCAAAACTATTAAATTAACCATTTATTGAGAAACTGTTCCCTTTTGTATGAGCTTTTTAGGGCTGCCATCACAAGGTGATTAGTAGGTGGTTTAAATGGCAGATATTTATTTTCTCACAGTGCTGGAGGCTGGAAGTCTGACATCAGGGTGCCCGCAGGGTTGGCCTCTCTCCTTGGTCTGTAAATGACCGTCTTTTCTTTGCTCTAGGCATCTGTGTCCTATCTTCTTTTAAGGATCCTGGCCATATTGGATTAGGGCCCACCCTAATGACCTCATTTTAACTTAATTACGTCTCCAGAGACTGCCGTCTCCAAATATGGTCAGACTCTGAAGCCCTGGGAGTTAAGATGTCAACATACTAATTTTGAGGGACACAGTTCAGCCATGACTCCTGCTTGGCTGGTTCTGGCCATAGATTTTGCCCTGCTCTGGGGCCTTCTCCTACCTATGGTTTACCTTCCCCCACCCCTCCACACATCTAATCTCTGAAGCCCTGAGTCCTATTAATATTCTCAGCCGATCAGTCTCCATCTTGAATATTACTGTTGGGGGAGGCAGCTGCAATGTTCTAGCTCATCCGCTGCAGACTTCGCTGCCTCTGCAGCTGTGACTCTGCTAGTCTAAGACTCTGAAGCCACAGGATGACACTCCTTCCATGCCCCAGACAAAACTTGTACCTACATGATTCTCTTGCTTTCTAAGGGCCCTGTAGATGTTCAGCACAAACAGCTCAGGACCTCCTGAGCAGGTTAGCAGCAGGCGGAGGAGGCCGCCAGGTGCCCCAGAGACACACCCATGGGGACTGTGATCTCTGCCAGCTCACGATTGGAGTCAGCAAGAGGTCTGGGTCCTCAGCCCTTAGGCCTGCTGAGTTTGTCACCTGAGTTGTGATCTTATTTGTAAATTAAATGAGACCAAGACTCATTTAGTTTGAGAAAAGGAATCCATCAGTAGAGCTCCATAGATGTGACCAGAAGACTGTGCCGGGATATATTGATCTACAGACTTCCAGGATTTTACCTTTTACCAAACAACCTTGTCACTTAAATAATGTTACCAGGGAAACAACAGTTGTAAAGAAGACAGCCAGTCTGATTGGTTGGCTTTTAGAGATCATAGGACAAAGCAGTAATTTCTAAGGTCTGCATGTCTAAAAGACTCCTTTGTTCAATGAATACTTTCAAAGACCATTTTAATAACAGAAAGCTGGACCGAATTACAAGCTTCACACCAGTCTCCTCTCTGTGTGGACAGGAATAGCAGTAATTCTGTGAGCACTGTCACTGCCCCTTTGATCAGCAGCCGTGAGCATTTGTGGTTTCCAAGGCCAAACACTGGAAGTGTTAAACCAAGGAACACAAGTTTACAAGAATGGACAGAAAAGGGCTGACTAGAATTAGCAAGAGAATATGTAACAAGTAATGTATCTACAACAAGGGTTGGCACACTGTGGTCAGTGTGTGAAATATGGCCCACTGCCTGTTTTTGTAAATAAAGTTTTATTGGAGCACAGCCATGCTCATCTATGTATCCTTATGGCTGCTTTCATGCTATAATGGCAGAATTGCTTAGTTGAAATGGAGACCATGTGGCCTACAAAGCTTAACATATTTACTATCTGGACCTTTACAGAAAAAGTTTGCCAACCTCTGATCTCCAATATCAGATGGATCCAACTTTGTTCTTAACACAAAATGATAGTTTTGATTCTCTTTGGCTTTTCTTGTTCAACTGAACCTTCTGGATTAAAAGATGTGATCCCAGTGAGACTGATGGATTCTCTGCTGGTGGAGGTTTTAAATGAACAAGGTTTGGGTCACCCTGAACCCTTCTTATGCCAGTGTCTCCCTAACCCCAGTGGTGGAGTGCACATCGCTCAGGTCCCTGGATCCAAGCTCCCATGTCACCTAATTCTCTGAGGCGTCCAGCTGAGAGGGTATATATCTTCCTTCTAACTCCAAAGACCCAGTTCATCTAACCTGATGGACTCCTGTCCTTTCATGTTCCTAGGACCACCCACCAGTTAGGGAAAGTACGCTCGATGAATGCTGACTATCGCTGGAGACTTTGTCTCATTGAGCTCCTCACTCAGGCGGGGCCACACCTCCGAGAACACTGAGGCTTCTGGGCTGGGTGTCTGTTGACAGCAGCGCTGTATCCTTTCTGGCACAGACCACACTGTGCTGACACCTGTAGGACCATGATTCATGACTTACTTCCCAAACCTGACCTGGAGACCTGACATGTGCCATGCCCTCTAAATGGGAAGCTCTCAAGGACTGAAAAGCTCCTGCCTGTCTTGGGCAGTCGTCTCAGCTGATACGCACCTGCAATTTATTTCAGCCACTTTCTTTGAAGTTTCCAAACTTCATCTTAGCTCCTAAATCTCAACTTAGTTTTCAGAAAAGTAGCAACACTCTTTGCACATTCTGATTTCATCCACTGATGTGATAGTTCAAGTTCATGCATATACAGGTTTAGAACCCGTCCAGTTGAGTCATGGTCAGCACCCAGCCTGCCTGGTGGGGAGGAGGTGCCCTGCTGGCTGGGTATTCAGCGGGGCTGCTGGGTATCAGACGGCACCCACTCAGCAGTTGGGAGGTTCCAGCTGGTCAAGAAAGTGCCTACTGTGCTTTGGCTAGTGGTGGGCTGACATGATGTGGAAGCTCTGGGTTGGAGTGAGTCCCTGAGAAGGGGCAGAAGGGACTGTGGTAGAGAAGAGGGTTGGGGCTCAAGAGGCAGGGTGTGGATCATTTCTGCCCTGGAGGCTTCATGGAGCGGAAGGGGAGGTGGGGTGGGGCTGGAAAGGCATTCAGGCAGACACTGCAAGCAGCCATGGTCCGTGTAAGGCCAAAAGCGGGTGGAAGACAGGAAATGAGGTGGTGGCATCTGTAAACTAGCAACATGTCATGCTTGGGTTGGCCGAGGGTCTGTGAGGACAGGTGGGAGGCTTGCCACTCGCTGACTCCTTGGCCTTGGGCTTTCACCGTTTTAGGCTTCAGGTCTTTTTACCTGTGAAATGCAGATCCAAGAGTCTGTGCTGACCTGGCTTCACCCTTTGAATCTTAATGTCACAGTGGCGATGTATTTTAGGGACATTTTTTTCACTGCAGACAAAATGAACTTTCTACGCCTGGCTGACCTCCTCAACATTCAGGTGGTCACTGTCAACATCAAGAGACACCCGCTGGAAGCTTGGATGCCTCAGCTGTACCAGTCGTCCGCAAGCCTCTGGGTACAGAAGGTGGTTCGGCACAGGCAAGTGGGATGGAGCCAATTTTTTCTCAAGTGGCTTTAGAAACAGGGTAATCCGTTAAAGCTAGACCGAATATGTTTTATCACCGAAGCTACAAATCAGCTGCTTGCTCCATCGGGGTCCTTGATTTCTCAGGGAGGCTTGGAAAGCATTCTAGAGATGCTATGTCTGACTTTAGCCAAAAAGACAGGCTTCTAGAATATGCTTCCTTCTGCAATGTTTCCTAAGATGCTCTAGGGCTACAGACTGAATGTGCTCTCGGAGCCAGAGAAGCGGGTCACTCTCTGAATTCAGGAGGTTCCAGCCCCAGAGTCTAGAGTCTGGGACATTGATGTCAAATATGGCCCTCTGACTCTGTAAACCATATGGGCAGAACTCACGCGTTAGAGTTCCTGGAATGACTGGTAAGAAGGCCAAGTAATTATTTTGTTCTCAAGTAGACAGACTCCAGGAAGAGTGATTTATCCTGGTTGGAGATCTTATTTTTAACAGGCATGGCCTGTAATACCTCTGTCTTCAGAGGCTCATCCTCTTGCTTTATTTGAATTTAATGTTTCATGAAGTGGATGGTTCAGAAGTCCCTGGAAGAGCTCAGCTTATGATGGAGGTAAATGTCCTTTCTAGCTGCCCATATTTTATATTTATTAAAGCCCTTTATGTGGGCACCCTTCCCGTTAATCCCAACTTTGAATCATTGATGTGCTTCCTGCAGCTGGGCCCTAGAGCTCCCGGCGTCACGGAGGACTGCGGGGCAGGACCCCCTCCCCTGTCTTCCATGGTCGTGCCCTGGATTTAGCCTGGATTCTCTGGCACACGGGGCCCAGGCGCCTGAGCAGGGCAGCCTGCTCTGTGATCAAAAAGTTTAGTCAGAGCTCAGTTACAATATTTCTTCAACCATGTTCACACCAGACTTGGTGAGGAAAATGGACATGTCAGTCCCCTGGAAAGCATGTGTGCATTCAGGGTAAAGAGGTTTTCAGAAGCTTTCTTAGTTAAGGATGATAATTTTCTAGGGACAAACAGAGGTGTAATGATCCTGTGCTAAGCCCTAAACCATCTCCTCACCCCCTGATTCTGCCTAAGCTTTCATCTGATCAGGTGCTGCGTCCCCGGAGGGGGATCCATGGGATGCACGGGGAACCATGCCTCTCACACCGTCTCGCTCTGTCCTCACCTTCTCTTTGGTGCCACAGGCTGTGCCAATATCAAGGGGAAGCGCAGGGATTGCAGGCCCCTGGCCATGCTGTGAACTTTCCTTACATGAGGAGTGTGTGTGTGTGTGTGTGTGTGTGTGTGAGTGTATGTGTGTGTGGTGGGGGGTGGGGAGCACCTTGTATTCATCACATTGGGGGGAAACACAGTCGGTCCTCTACCAGAAGGTGCTCCTTTCACTGAAATGTGGGGTGACACGATGTTATCTTTTTCTCCTTATGGCAGGGCTTTTGTCTGGGTTTATGATGTCATCATTCTAATAAATGCCATATTCATTGCTCTGGAAGAGAAAAACCCCTTCATTTCCTACGCAGAATGGGTTTTCCTTTTTCTCTACATTACTGAGATTCTCCTGAAACTGTACACGTTCGAGCCCAGAGTCTATTTTGGAAGGAAGCAGTTCTGGAACTGGTGAGCATGAGGGTTCTGGGGAGAGGGGAGAAGGGGCTTGCCCTCACAGCTCAGGGAACATAGTTTTAGTTTCCCAAGCTCCATCTGCCTCTTGAGGCATCTGATAACAACACCTTGTGGGTGGGAGGATATCTGGCTTCCTCAAAGTTATGTATGATGTCAGTTTGAACTGACTCTGGCTAAAATCAGCATCACAGATAAGGACACCTTGGGGTGGAAAGGTCCTTAGAATGTCATACCCCACCAGGCAGTTCCTTCTGCAGCTCCATAGTCTTGTTATCAGAAAACCTGGCCTGTGTGGCTGGACAATGAGAATTGTTAACAAGCTCTTTTCTGGGCTGGATGTATCTCCCATGACCTTCTTTTCTCCAGGCTGCGTACCACCTGGTTGCAAAGCATCACCTGAATGCTGTGTGTTAGGCATTGAGGGACACAAAGATACAATATGCAGGCCTGACTTAAGTAGGACCCAGCAGGGTTGGATCTCTGCAGTCATTGTTCTCAGTGCCAAGAAACTTGCTAGAATGTGATGCGGCCAAAGGGGAGCTGGTCAGTGTTGTCCAATGCTTTGGCTCCATTGTCCTTTGACACCATAGTCAGAAAGAAAAGTAAGGATGTGATGAATTTCCCTTTTAATTAAAAAGTTACAATGCGTTTAGTAAAATTAATACCAAGAAAGATTATACTATGTATTCTGAATATGTATCACAGTATTCTTATAGATATGTAGTTACTTTAGAAGACAAAGGGGTATGAATTGGCTGAAGTAAGCCCCCTACAAATTCCCATGGTTCATTGGAGCATCCAGTGAAGGATCATCAGATTGTTCAAACATAGCACTTCCGACTTTGTATCCACTGTCCTAAAAATTATGGAAATCAGTTTTATGGTTGGGTCATTGCTTGGCATGAGATACTGGCTTCAAAGTTTTCCTGGGATTCACTGTATCCTGAGGTTGGCAAGCCTTTTCCTTGATCTGTCACTGACTTTGCTTCCTCCCCATCAGGTTTGACACGCTGATCATCATTGCAGCCCTTGTGGCCACTGTGGCCACCACCACCATTCAGCCAGGTTAGAGCCGCTCACGGACGGATGCACAGCTTCACGCCCTCTAGGATCACGCATCCAATCAGTAGTTTTGGTCAAACAACTGCTGTGCACCACCAAAGCGTCTGGGAGGAAGACGAGGGGACACAAGAGAATTAGTAAAAATGCTGCATGTTCTGGAGCAGGCTGGTGACTCCCTGTGTGTGTAGCTGTATATTAGAGGTGCCATTTGTAGGCGTCCATCACGGACCTGCCATCTCCTCTCCCGCACCACCCTTGGTCTGAGGGTTAACTTCCACACCTTTCCCCCTAGCACCCACTCAGGGTCCAGCTGTAGCAGGAACTTGGCTTCATTCCCTGCTCACCACCCTCTTCTCTCTACCCTCCTGTGGCCCCACCCACACATACCACCACTGCTGTGCATACTCCTTCTCATAGACAGCACCGCAGGTTGTTTAGAGAGAGTGCAGCTTCTTCCCATGACTCTGGAGTGAGTGCTGGGAAAGGGAGGGCGTGCTGAGATGTGATCTGTACAGCTGCAACCACAGTCACTTCTTGATGACCATCTGAAGTCTCCACCTAAACTCACCATTTAGCTCTAGGGCCTGCAGGACTGCCTGGGTCCCACTCTTGCCAGCGTGGTGTGGTTTGCTGGGGGAGCTAGTGATTTGGGGTGGCACTCATGTCCTCACGGTTCAGAGCCATTGTCCTGGTCTTGAAGTACGGCTGCATCTTCCCCCAGTGCCCACAGAGTCTCAGGCCTCCTTGAATAAAGGGGCAAGCCAGAGGTTCTCAGAAAATGGAATTAAATGACTGTGTCCTTTTTCTAGCAAGAAAATACAACAGTCAGCAGATACTGGACATCGTCTTGGTACTGAGAATACTGCGGCTCTTGAGGGTCATTGTCAGCATCCAGAGGTAATGATGAAGTGACAGGTCACAGCCGTGCTGGGGTGGCTGCCAGGCCTGGTGGGGACCACTCCTGCCTCGGAACTGCAGCCACACCCAGCTAGGGACCCAGAATGCAACTTGTGTGGAGGACCTGGGCTTCTCTTGCGATGGTGGGGAGCAGGGGGAGTCCGTGTAAAGGCAAGAGCTCTCAGAAGGCAGCTCCGTGAGGGCGGGGATTCGTCCCCGTGTCCCCCTGCTGCACAGCGCCTGAATAACAGTGATCATAAAGGCAGCTGATGTTGTAAGTCCCTCCCACAACCCTCTGTGTAGGGCTTTGATTAGCCCTTGATCACAGGTGATGACAATGACGTTCAGAGAGGCTGAGTAACTCTCCCAGTAGTGCACAGCGAGAAAGAGGCAACCCAGGATCCTGACCCCAAAGCCTGGATAAACCCTGCCTGTTTTTGATAGGGTTCCTTTCAAAGGATGTGGGAAGATACCTCCCTCCCAGGACTGGTCTGCATCTCCAGAAGGTGATTGTATCATTTTAAGCGTCCAGGTCAGCCTTAAAACAGGCTGGACTTTGATGGAGAAAAAGGTGGGGGGAGAAAAGCTGAGAAGGCAAATGGTTTTTCAGCCTCAACACCCACCTCCTTCTTACCAGCAAAATTCTGTGATTGCCTTTCTTATGTTTTTTAAAACTGCCTTGCTTTGTTACACCTCTACACAATAACTCCCCCCTCAGCTTTGCAGATGGGCTGATCCTGACAAAATCCTAAAGGCAGACCCCTGCTGTATTCAGGGAGGGCTCAGGCCTGGGCCAGGGGCATCAGACTGGGCATGCCGGGAGGTGCTGGTCCTACATCTTGTCTACTGCCTTGTGCCTGAAACTTTGTTTTACCCTAGATTCCGGGTCATCGTGACCACCTTGATTAACATCGGCCCCGCAATGCTGACGTTTGGTGGACTTGTCTTGGTAAGGGGCTGTTCTCCTTGCTGCTCTATGTGAAATAAGCGCTGAGACATTCCTTCTTAGCAACTCTCAAGTCAGCCTTACTTTATTTACACAAGGGAAAGAAAGGGTGATGAAGGAAATGAGATTTGCTGGTTGCCAGTAGTTATTTCTATAACTCTTATTTTTGGAAATAGCAACTGTCTAGGAACATTGGGCCTCTCTCAGTGAAGGTACACTGGCTACTGTGAAGACATCACAGCTTCAGTGGGCTCACCCAGTCAGAGTTTCTTCTGCACCCTCACCCCAACCCCACCATCTGGGTGGGTGTTCCTAGCTAGCAGGTGGTCCTCAGGAATGTAGGCTTCTTCCAGCTCTTGACTCTGCTCCCCCCAGGCCTCAGATCCTTCTTGTTCTGCTGAGAAAGCCCACCTGCCCTTGAGATCCCTGATGGAAAGAACACCTGTGCCACACAAGGCTCAAGGGGGCTGGTGCCTCCCACTCAAGGGATTCTGCACCACGGATGGGGGAGCTCAAATATCAGTAGGCAGGCTGCTATGGGGTACTTATTTTTCTTTTCTGTTATAATGGTACAAAAGGCAATGAGTACAGAAGAATGAAAGGTAGACTGCAAGTCACCCATTCCCACCCCTGCTCCTCTTCCAGAGATAGCCATTATCAAGTGTTCCTCCTTACTCCTGCTGAGCATTACCGTGGGTGCAACAGGCATGGCACACACAGGCAGGCACCCATCCAGCTTGTTGTTTAGGCAGATGGGATAGTCCATACAAAATGATGCACAGCTTTTCTTGGACCCGCTATCTTTGTCATATGTCCTGGAGGCACATGCTTATAGGCTCCGCTGTGGTTAAATGTGTCCCACTGATGGGGGACTCCAGAAAGCAAAAGGCCAGCCCTCTACAGACAGATGGTGAGGTGGTTTCACCTTTTTGGTTTCACCCAAGTGCTGTGGTGGAGACCATTCTCACACATGTATCTTTGTGCTTTGGTGTTCGTATCTCTTGGATACATTCCAGGAATGGAACTGCTAGGCCAAAAAAAGGTGGATGTGTTCAAAATTTGGATTGTGGAGGCAAATTGCCTTCCAAAAGATGTGCTCCTACACTCCAAAGGACAGCGTATGACAGCCTCTATGGCCATGCAGGCCTCATACCTAGGGTTTATTAAACATTTCCATGTTTTCATCTGATAGGCCAGCAAGTGTGTGACTCTGACATGTACTTCTTCAGTTATTCAGAAAGCTGGAAGTCTTTTCCATGTTCTTTTGGCTGCTTATGCTAATTTTTTGATAAACAGCCTATTTCTATCCTTGGTCCATTTTTCTATTATTTATTTTTCTTTTTAATATATGATTTATAGAAATGTTTTGCCTATTAAGGAGCAAGCTTTGGGTAAGTTGTATACAGAGCAATTATTTTTCCTTACCTGTCACTTTTTTTTCCTACATAAAGACTTTCTGTTGTGTTTTTTTGGCTGTATGTAAGTTTAAATTCATTTACATAGTCATTTTTGCCAGTCTTTTTATTTTCTAGTGCTTAGGTTTTATGTCATGTTTAGCAAGGCCTTTTCTACTCACTTTTTTTTAGTTACTTTCTGTTTTTTTACATTTGAGCCTTTGGTAACTGAAATTTATTTTGGTATAAAAAACAACGTAAAGCTCCAACTTTAATTTTTTCCGAGAGGACTAGTTCTTATTTATTGAATATATTTTACCCACTAGCTTGCTAGCCGCTTTGTTTTGACTTTGTAAATGGAATCCATGGTAGGGACACAGAGTGGTCCAGTTGGCCAGGTCCTCCCTGTCTCCCGCCTGGGCAGCTTGGGCTTCTCTGGAAGGAGGCCGATTGGTCAGCCTCTTCCCGATGCATTTCGGGACTCTTGGCTGGGCAGCCATCCCCGGAACAAGAACATCTGCCAAATCTGCGGGGCCTTTGGCCGTGGCCAGGTGTCCACGGTCCCACATCCTGCACGCCCCACCCCCGGGGTCTGCAGGTCATGTGCCCACTGACGGTCTTAGGTGGTCTACTACGTGTTTGCTATCATCGGGATGGAAGTGTTCCATGGCAAGGTCCGGTTTTTCGGCCCAAACGCCACCACCCCTGATGCCCTGGTGTGTGGGAACCCGGCCCTAAAAGACTCGGCGTTCGCCCGAGACAAATACTGCAAGAACAACTTCAACAACCTGGCCTCCTCGTTCATCCTCCTCGTGGAGCTCACGGTGGTGAACCAGTGGCACAATATCCTTTCCGAGAAGGTGGTCTGCCACAGGGGCTGCTGCTCCCCGGGGCCGGGCAGGGGTCGCTGAGAGAGACTTCCGGGAAGGGGGTGCCGTCCTGGTGTCCCTGAGCCCAGAGGACCCACCGCGGGCCTGAAGGTTTGGTTCCTTAGCCTCGGACTCCTTGCCGGCGGCTTTGCCCTGGTGACTCATCAGGCAGCGAAGCTGTACTTCATCGGCTTCCACGTCGTGGTTGTCATCCTCATTGTTAAGTGAGTTTCTCCTGCCCTGGTGGCCCCTGCAGCTCTCCTTTCTCAGAATGTGGAGGCGCTTCCACCTGCTCCCTGCTCCTCCCCAGCCCACAATGTGGGTAGGTCGCATCCCGTGCTAGGTGGGAGGGCACAGGAAGGAAGAGGTCTTACCTCTGTTCACAGCTGTTTTGCCATAGTGTCTGCCAGCACTGTGCACGTGGGCATATGGTACCCGTCTCAGCCTCAGAAGGTGTTTGGGTCAGGACTCGGGTCGTGGCCAGGCCGCCTCCCCTTCCCCACTGGGGCGGGCCCACCATGAAGGCCTCCCTGAGAATGCTGTCCACCCTTCTCTGCATGGAGCCTTCACTGTCCCTGCAGAGGAAGAAGGGCAGTGTGCCCTTGGGTCACTGGTTCCAGTTCTGTCCTGACCCCTCCCAGTGGAGGACTCAGTATTTGAAAGTGGCTGTGACATCTCACTTCTCCAAAGGGCTTCCGGTCCAGCTTCACAGTCCCTGATTCTAGGTCCCTGGTTCTCATGGGACCAGAACCTGAGTACCCAGACCCCTGGGATTCTCTCCCAGAGCCGTGTTCTGGCTGTCATACCCCTCTCAGCGCCTGGGGCCCACAGTTACTGGGGTGACAGCTCAACGCCAGTGCCTTGTCACATTGGGGCTGCTTTGGTCAATAATGCCTTGGTAATGTCCTAGTCAACAGAGGGGAAGAGAGGAAACCCCACAGGTGGCTCTAATCAGGCCTGCTTGTCCTATGCAGCCTGAATGCAGTACTGATGGGAACAGAGAAACGCCTCCCTCGGGGCCACTTAAAGAGGTCTGGGTCCCAGGGCTGGGGCTGGTGGAGGCAATAATGGGAAAAGACTGCAGGGATTTTTTTTGCTCTGCTCCAGTTAAAGTGTGTAGTGCTCTGACAGCCTGGGCTCCGTGTCATCACTGTTAAGTCAAAAACAGTGAAGGGTGTGAGATTCTCCCCCACTTGCAAGCTAACAGGTTCATCTGCCACCTGTGTACACTGACAGAAAGCAGGGCACCCTGGGTCAGAGACAAAGACAGTTTATTATTTATGGCAAAAACTGCAGTCAGAGCTGGGAAGCCCTCTATCAGTTATCTGGGCCCTAAACCCCCTGAACAATCTGGTGAGCACCAGCTGGAGGGGCTACAGGGCAGGAAGGGACTCCAAAATGAGGAAACTCTGATCTCGTATCAATAGGACTGCTGGGGACCTGCCCACCCTCCCATCTGGAGACAGGGAAAGAGAGAGATCTTATTATTACTTTGGAGTGTCAACAGATCGCAGGGGAGTGCAGGAGCTTTACCTCTACTCCCCTGGACTGTCTCTGCAGAGGGAGGCACTGCTAAGCCTTACTATCCTGGAACATGTCTGCAGACAAACATTCCAAAATTAGCTCTTGATGCCTTTACTCAGAGGACCTAGACTGTGCAGAAACATGAAATTTTCATGAAGAATTATCTACCAATAATTAGTCTAAGCTTTCCCTTAAATAAATACCATTTTCTTTTATATGCACTGTTTAAATAGGATCTAAAGGATGGTTCCCAAATGGAAGCTGTGTCCCATCTTTGAGAGACGTGTCTGTCATTTCTCTCATCTGTGTTGCCTCTTCTTTGCAACGATAAGGCTGCCTTGCTATTTGGGCTCCGACATCCCTTGGAGCCAGGATTCCCCAACACCCAAACCGCTTGACCCCACCTAACACCTTGACCCTCTTACTCTTTCTCAGTATTTTCATAGCGTTCATCTTGGAAGCATTTTTTGTGGCATATTCATTAGAAAAAAGTGAAGTAGAAACTGCCATTGAGAAGAAGATTCAAGAGCTCAGAATGGGAATCCAAGAGTGAGTAGTGTGTTTCCCTTCACAGACTTTTAGAAGAGCCCAATCTTTTAGAAAGATCCTGGTCATTTGCAATCTCTAAGTGCCAATTCTCAGGGACACTGGCTGGATGAGAGCCCTGACTGTGGCTAGATGGCGACAGGGGGCCAGGGCTTGGAGGACATGGCCAAGGGACTTGACCCTGCTCATGTGGTCTCTTTGTCTTTGAAGAGAAGAAATGCAGGATGGGAAGCTCATTGATAATGTGGAATCCAAGGACAGTGGCTTTCATGGAGATGATGGAGACAACAAAAGGAAGACTTTGAAAGGGCTGTACTTTAGAATTGCATCAAAAAGTAAGTTCTAACCCAGTACAAAATTTTCTCCAAACTGTGTTCCTCACTGCAGCCAGTGAGGTGATTTTAGAATGCAGATCTGACCTTCAGTGGCTTTCCAGTCTTAAGATAAAGACGATCCCCTGCTATGGCCTCTGCAGCCCCCATGCCTGGTTTCTATCTCAGCTTCTCTTCCTTCCTTCCAGGACCCGCCATGCCTGCTGCATGTTTATTGTCAAGGGATTGTTGGGTCATCATCTGTCTTCTTTGCAGACTCAAAGCTTGGCTGCACGTGTGCAGAGCTGTGTTCTTTTTGCTTTCTGTTGTGTCCCCAGGGCCTTACAACATGCATCAGACATGGGGGCCCTCAACAACTCTGTTTAATTGCTTTATTAATTCTCAATGAATTAACAATTGGCTGAGTATATGCAAACCAACCTGAATGTCAGTTTGGGTTGGCTGGAGCACCCATGACAAAATAAATGCAGACTGAGGAGTGTGACAGATGGCAAGAGCAGTGGTCTGAGTGTGCAGCCCCAGCAGGGTGGCTGTCCTCCTCCCTCCTTCAAGGAGGACTTCTCCTTGGGCTCCAGAGCCTTCAATGGCTGAACAGCTCAGTGGGATCAGCACCAGGAAGGATGAGTGATTTCTTTCCTGACATTTTCATCCTTCCTTTCAAAGAGTGGCTCCCATGCCGAGCATCGTCTTCAACTCGGAGGCCATCCTTCAGGAAAGCCTAGCTCTACCCTGGCCGGTTGCTCCCCACTGGCCCAAAGCACCAGTTTGCATGTGCCTTTCTCCTTCCTCCCAGAGTACAGGACTGTGGACACCTTGCTGCAGCAGATGTTTGAGTCTGAAATTGCCCCGGAGGATGAAACCCCTTCCTTGGATGAGATTCTGAACTTCTCACCCAGTGACATATATCCCAAGAATCCCAGTTTTGAAAACAGTGCATGATTCTGGGCTGTGGGCCCACAACTGGAAACCAAGATAAGCTGTTATCACTTGTGCATATGCTACCTAGAGAATGTGTTTCCAGGCCAGGTTCCCTTCTGTGTTCTGATAATCCTGTGAACCCATTCCACTCACCCTGAGTAGCCAGTTGAAGGGCGTGGAAACGCTGTCTCTGTATGCCCCGCCTGGGGTCATTCTGAAGTCTGATTGTGGAAGTCAGGAGAGGAAAGGAAGAGATTGAGAGGAGCATTTATCATACACATTTTAAGTACATGTGCAGAGTCCTTTCCATGGGCATATAAAAGCTTTTCATTTATTTTATATATTTTGCTATTCTATTAAACAAATACTGTGCTACAATGTTGCACAAATAAATTTTTAATAACTACAGTAAAAGAATACATTCTAGTATAGCAGCTTTTAGATGCAGTTTCAAAATGAAGAAAAACATGAAAATAAAATTTTGTAAAATTGTTTCTTTTTCAGGGGGAGTTTCTCAATGTTTAATTAAATTACAATTATAGCAAGACTTTTGAGTAAGTCACTCTCTGAGGTTACTTTCCCCAGCGGGAAATATCCCAGTACAGTGACATGCTCCGTATGGGAAATTAAAAAGGATTTTTAAAGTTCATTTATTTAAAAATTTTAAGTTGTGGTAAATACACATAAAGTTTACCACTGTAACCATTTCTTAGTGTATAGTTCAGTAGTTTTAAGCATATTCACATCTATATGCAACCAATCTCTGGAATTTTCCCACCACCCCAAATGAAACTGTGACCATTAAACTATACGCCCCTTTCGCTCCTCCCCTGGTAACTACCATCCCACCTTTTGTTTATACGAATCTGACTACTTGGATGGTAGTTGCATTCTGAGCAAGTGTAATCCTTTCCAGAGTTGTCTGGGTGTGACTCCTCGTTTTTCTGTACCTCATCATGGCCCCACCATATGGCAGGGGAGTTGGTGGGAACACATCTCCATGAGCTGAGGTCTCTGGGTGCAGTGAGGTCCGAGTCATGCTTTGAGTTATGCGTCGATACACTGACACTAGCTTGGGAGGGGCTTTGTTTCCTCCGTTCTGCAGGTGACCTCTGGTATAGGAGCAAAACCAGGGTTTTGTGCTGACTCTGGGGCTAGACTGTCTGGTTTCATACCTGGTTCCTCCCTGGCCATGCCACTTAACCTCTGTGAGCCCCATTTCCTCACCTGCATTTGACACAAATGGTACCTCCCTCCCACACCTGGTGCCTGTAGGAAAGTGACTGGTGGAATGCCGGTTTGGTGCTGTCTCAGCGTTTGCTGTTCCCAGTTTAAAACCATGCCTGGGATTGGGCATCAGTGCCTTAGAATTCCATTATCATGAAGATTCCCAGGAGGGGGACCATGCCGACCTATCTAACGGGATTTGTGGAGTCCTGCCATCCTTCTAGACCCCTCTTATTTCTTTATCTAACACTTATTATTATGTAAATAATTAAACTGAAAGTACTGAGTGGCAACTTAATTTTCTAAATTGGAAAATATGCTGGCCATTTTTTATGATGCATTGTAAAAAATTCAATACAGAAATAAGAGTAAAAAGTGGCTTTTTTCTTCCTTTTCCTCCTTCCACCCCCTTTCATTCTACACACTATCTGAGACCTCTTTCCCAGTATAACTGCTGTGTTGTTTATCCTTCTGGAACAAAATCTACTCATTTACAGCCATTATCATGCATATTATTATACACTGATTGTATTTTTCATCCTAAGTGGTAAGACATGTTCATGTATGTTCAAGAACCTGCTTTTTTCACTTACCAGTCTTTGTTTCATGTTGAGGGGTGTGTGTGTGTACATATACACAGAAATGCTGCCAAGTGTTCCATACCATTAATGTTTCATGACTTACGGAAGAATTCACTTTTTCAGGGACCTATACATTGTTACTCATGTTCAATATTAAACAATAATTGAGCAAACCTTGTTATGTATTGTTTCTGCATCTGTGAGCCTGTCAGTACAAGAGTCTGGGTCAGACTTTCTGGACCCAATTACTACTGACTTGCAGCAGCCCGCGTAGCCACCAGGGGGCCCCACCGGCCCAGCTACTGCTCACAAGTCTAGGAAGAAGGGGATTAACGGGGGGAGCTGTGACAGGGATTGCAGCCTTTCTCCAGCCTTTCAGTGAACTAGACATCCAATTTGGCAGTTTATTCCTCAGTCTCCCTGCCAGGGGGATGTGGCAACATGATTGTCCGCCCCAGGCTGTGAGCCCAACTGGGGTCCGCTCCTGGCTAGTCCTACCCTTGGGAAGTCTCCCTGCTCTGCCTCCACTTGTCGCCGGCTGGGAAATGGCAACAACCGGGACATCTTGTAGGCCTTCTGCAGAGGAGCGCAAAGTTCCTGCCAGTACAGGATTGCTCACCCCCCAATTGCAGTGGGAGACTGAAATCATTTGTCTTCTCTGACCACTGTGCACGTGGGTCCTGTTATAGCAGCTTAGCCTGCCTAAAGTCTAAGCCATCCAGAAATGGGTTTTCTGAAACATTCTGGAAAAGAACCAACAGGACAGATGGTTTGACACAAGGGGTGAAGAAAAAGGATGACCAAAGATGACAACTTTGAGGATCAGTGGCAGAGAAAGGTGTGGAGTAATAGCTTTGCAGGCCTATTTATATATTGTGCCAAATGCCCAACTATCTAGGAGCTATTTCTGATAGGTACAGGCCACGTTTGTGGTTTCCTAGGTATATCTTAGGGAAAAATAAATACTAGAGCCATTGCCTTAGACCACAGATATAAGAAAGGGGGAAAAGACATTGCTAACGGGAGTCTCTGAATGTCCTTCTTAGCTACAACTCAGAATGTGGAGCAGGGGGTCAAGAATGGGTAGGAAATGCCTTGACCCCAGATGGATACTGACTCTGAACCTAGGCTGAGTCTAGCCAATGTTTGAGCATTTAGGATGACCTGGGCCCCTTCTCAGCTCAAGAGACACAGCATGAATAAGACACAGCACTGTCCTTGGGGAAATTTGTTTCATTCATTGAGTGAACTGGAAATTTCTTTGCCCTCCCAACACTGACTTCAGTTGCATCTACTTCTGTTGCCCTTTAGACGCAGAATTTCCCTTATGCAGATAAACTGTGTAGCATGTG